TTTTTACAAGTTTGTTGTGAGCAACTTCAACGCTCGGGAGTCACTAGAAAAGGCATATAGGATCGAGACGTTTAGATATGGACTGCGGAATGAGAAACGGCAACCGTGTCGTTGAGCTTCTCCCCGCCGCACGACTTTTTCATGGAAATTCCATCTTCATGAAGAAAGACATCGCCGGTGGACATGTTAATCGCCCAAAGGAAGACTCACGCGGAGATCGACCACATTCTCACCAACGAAGGTGGAGCTTGCTTGATGTTTCAGTAGTTCCATCCTTTTGCAGTGACTCCGATCACCGCTTCCTTCGAGCGAAGATGCGACTCAAGGCTGAAAAAGAAAGTTTGTCACAGTGAGAAGGAAAGAAGTCGTTTTTGACGATAACAGGCTGGAAGCTCATATCAAATTGTGACTGGCCCATCGAGGAGGACCCAACGTACGACTACAACCGGCTTTTGAAAGTATTTCGAGCCTATGAAAAGTGCGCCTCAGTGACTTCTGAGAAGATTGGAACACATTTTAAAAACCACGAAGGAATTGTTCGAAAGAAGAAGATTTCTGAGGCAGAATCCGGATGCAACCCATCTCGAGCGATTGATAGCCAGCGCCAGTTGCAGAACAACTTTGCAGGAGGATCTCATAAGGGAAGTCACTCTTAGGTCGGGCTTTTGAAATGAGATACATATATTTAGAATCAGCTCGGAACGCTGATTCCAAATATGCTATCCCTAGCTGCGAAGCGTTTCTCTGAAGCGAGTTATGAGCTTTTTTATTATGTGTCAATGACATACAACTGAGTATGGAAAGAAGGTCTTTGGATGAAAATCTGCCCAAAAAGTGATGGAAAATCAAAATAACATCAAACTGAGTCATTTGGCTTTGATAGGGTATAATATGCATTTGATCCACTACCTAGATGATGATACCGTAGCATGCCTAAGTCGGTTAACACGCAAAATTTGCTCAGAAAAAAAGCTCATAACTCGCTTCAGAGGAACGCTTCGCAGCTAAGGAAAGCAGATTTGAAATCAGCGTTTCAAGCTGATTCCAACCATATGTGTCTCATTTCAAAAGCCCGACCTAAGTTAAGTGACTTCCCTTGTCAGGAATTACATACAAGCCGATACTGGAAGCAGTCAAAGGAAGGCAAGGTCGTGGTAGGTGCCAGAGGGACCTCCGTGATTATCACGCTGTCGCTGGCAGCACCATTGAACGAAGACGGGACTCAAAAATCTCTCCGATACATATGGAGTGGCGAATAACTTTTGAACACTCTTCCCTCGTCAACACCCGTGCAGAGCCCGTTATATCCACTGGAGAAGTACCACCAAGGATTCTACCTGCTGAAATGCTTATCGCGATAGACCATGACGTTCACGGCTCCAGGACCAGATCCTCTTTCCGTCAAACTTTGCGAACACAACGTCTACATGAGATCTTCGCGTCTAGCATCTTACCTTCAGAACGAAAGGATTCTTGACCAGTGGAGAACTTCAAGAACCGTCTTAGTCTTCAAGAAGGGCGAACGAGAGAATCTTTGAAACTATCGTCCAATATGTCTGCTGAATCTGATGTATACAAGCTTTTCATGAAAATTATCCTCGCTCGCATGTTTAGGACACGTAACCCCAAGGACAAGTGCATTTCGCAAAGGATTCACCTGCATGGACCACATCCAGACGGTTTCGAGAGTCATAGAAGTCTGAGGGGAATACCGACTGCCTCTCGTCCTAACCTTCGTCGACTATGAGAAAGCCTTCGACGGCGTCGAAACGAATGCCATTCTGTCAGCGCTAGTCGATCAAGGAGCGGACCCAGTTTACGGACGACACTAGTCGACTGCTACCAAGACTGTACAACAACGATGCAGCTATTTCATCGCCTCATCCACCCCCCTGACCACTCCAATTGGAAAGGGGGTTCGACAAGGCAACATTATTTCGCCGAAGCTGTTCACCGCGGCCTTGCAGTGAGTGATGGACTGGGACGAGAGAGACATACGAGTTGATTGGAGATTCCTTTGCAACCTTCGTTTTGCGGATGACATCGTTCTCTTCTCGAGCAGTCTCACTGAAGCAGAGATTATGCTAAAAGAACTAAACGAAGTGGGAAAGAAGATCGGATTGCGAATCAATCGGAAGAAGACTCAGTTCATGAGGAACGCCCTTTGCGAAGATGCGAAAATGGAACAAAAACCCCTATCATAGAGACATCTTCTTACGTGTTTCTCTGACATTCATTGAATATAGAGAACAGCTCGAGGGGAGAACTTAACAGAAGAAGAGCGGCCTGGGCCGCCTTCGGGCCTTTGAAGCAAGCCACGGACCAACTGAAGGACCCGGAGCTTCTTGCCTACCTGCTCGACTCAAACGTTCTCTCGGAGCTCTGTTATGCAGCTGAGACTTGAGCCAACATTGCAGCCACGTCGAAAGCTTTATGGACCACCCACAGAGCGCTCGAGCGCAGTCTTCTGAAGATGACCCGACACAAGCAACATCTAGTCGGACTTCGCAGCACGGATATGAGAAGAATGTCCCGTCTTCGTGACCCAGCGAAATACGTTGTGAAAACGAAACACCATGGGCCGGTCACATTGAGAAGAACAGACGACAGATGGACACTGATACATAAAGTGGATTTCTCGCGAAGCCAAACGTCCCGAGGAAGACCACCGACGAGGTGGGCAAATGTGTTCGTGGTATGGATGGACCAGCTGAGAAATCAGCTGGATACGATTATCGCACCTGGAATTCGTGGACGCCACTGATGGCAACCAAGGTCGTTATGCCTGAAGCGAGGGACAAGGAACAATGGAAACTTTTGCACTGGAGCCCGCAGTCACGTGAGGGCGGGCCAAGTAAGCATCTAAGTAAGTAAGTATACAAAACACTTCTCCATGTTTGCTACACCATGAATTCTGCTTTAACCACCAAACTACTTAGGGGCCAGCCAAAATCTCGCTTGTCCCATTTTTCGCATTCAGTATACAAGAAGAGGATACTTAGTCGAAAGCACCAATCCAGATGAGACATATATCATCTTAAAGCGTTTGAAACACTGAGTCCAAATCTGCAGTTTTTAGCAGCGGAGCGGTTTTGTAGAAGGAGTTACTTGGGATAATTCAATCTGGAGTTGAGGCGCCCTCCAGCAGGTCTCCCCCTATCTATGAACATTTTAGAGAAGTATTAACTAGTGGCAGCTGGCCTAATGGTAAGTTATTTGAGTAAAGATTACAACAGGGATTATAATACTGAAATCACTTTGGTTTTTTAACAACTTCTAACTTCGATTAGCATCAATATCATCAGAAATTTCAGGCTTTAGTGCTCTAAAGCCATTTAGAAGCTCAATTTTGCAAAAACTTGCATGCGAAAGGGATTTAAACCTTGACATTCTCTTTATCAAGCAAGTCACTTACCACTAAGCCAAGTTTGACCAGCTGGTATCCTCTACATTGCTCATAGATAGGGGGAGACCTGCTGGAGGGCGCCTCAACCCAGATTGAGTTATCCCTCATTACTCCTTCTACAAAACCGCTCCGCTGCTAAAAACTACAGGTTTGGAATCAGCGTTTCAAACGCTCTAAGATGATATATGTCTCATCTGGATTGGTGATTTCGACTAAGTATTCTCTCCTTGTTAGTGGTGGTGGTGGTGGTGGTTATGCTAGCAGTGGTTATGCTTCCAGCAACTATTGCTCAAAGGAAAGAAGATGAATCCAGTTCTAATCACTCCCACAAAAACTACGAGATTTTGGCTATCGAAATGTATACAATTTGCTCTCTAATGTTGTCTTTGAAGGTAAGTTAAGGATGTGGCACAGCCCAGAAAAGCTGTAGCTGCCACGCCTTTTCAAGGGTTGCGCCACACCCCACTAACTTACCTCAAAACCAATCAAGTACCGGCGTTTTTATCATTGCTACGCTTAATCTTCTTTTATACTGCACGAACCTCACTTGAAATTGTTTCTTCTAAGAAAAGATATAATCGTTTTTCCTACCTATGCAAATGGAAAATATAGCGAAAATATTGGATTACGACAAAAAGCCGAATCTATTCTCTACGCGAATTGTGAGGAGAGGCACAAGACTGTACATATTCATATTCGTCGCTAGTCTAAGCCTCGTAATTTACACTACAATTTGAGCCTAATCGTTCTTAGTCTAAGATATTGAATGCGAAAAATGAAACAAACGAAATTTTGGCTTGCTCTTAATTTTTTGGTTTGGAGGTTATTTGAAGTAGGATTCCTAAACTAGGCAAAGAAGTGATAGTTCTTTATATTGAGTGCAGAAAGAAGTAGTTGATCCACCTTTGAAGTAAAGTTACCATGTTCGAAAAAGACCGTCTTACTTGAGGCTCCCGCCAGAGTGCCGAAGTTATGCCAGCACTACGCCAGCATTTCGATCGATACACGTGCATTTCGTTGGGGCGGGGCTAGCTGACGTCCCCAACGAGATACACGTGTATCGATCGAAATGCTGGCGTAGCGCTGGCATAACTTCGGCACTCTGGCGAGAGCCTGAGTGGCCCATTATATGGAAACGCTGGAAGTTGGCCCACGGGGGTTATTTGACATGCTAGTTACAAAAGTGATACTCTTATGCTTTTACGGCTCTTTTATTATGTTTGCTAACGTATACAATGATGGGCCAAAATCAACGTGCTAGTATTTATGATAGGCAAAATCATGTATTGTTATCACTAACATCAGAATAACCTCAATAACGACCCCCTTCCCTCTTGCTGACCCCTCACGACCACCCAGGTGTGGCATGCCACATCCCACGCTTGACCCTGTCCCCGATCCAAAGCTGTATACTGCTGCGTGTGAACGCACCTGATGGGTTCTCGCGCAAAATCCCTCAAGTCGGTGCAGGTCGTCCATTAGTATGGTATGGTATCGCGGACAGGTGCCTGGAATTGCCTTGATTGTTCCTGATACTCGTACATATTAGTCCCAGTTCTTTGTCTACAGTTTTTTTTGCAATGAACCGGCTCAGGGCGCTGAGGATGGAACGGATTATCAAGCAGTTTATGTGTTTGAGCTGCCGTTGGTAGAAGACAATTTACCTTTCTCATGTGATTTTGACTTTGATACTTCGGTGAAGTGTAAGCTCAAGTACATAGAGAAGCCACCCAGTGACGACGTAAGCCTTTTCCGAGAGATTTGAGTAATAAAGCAATAGCTCTTTCTTTCTTGCAGAACGACTTTTGTAGAGTTGTACCTGTTTATAAATCTCAAACTTCTGAACTAAGGTGCCGCAGAAGAAAGGATTTTTTATATGAGAAAGACTGGATCAAGGTGATTGACATTACCCTTATTAAAAATGAATGTACATTTGTTCTTGTTGTAGGCTACACTAGAGGATTTTATGCAATTGAACGGCACTTCTGACCGACATAAAGAGTATGTGAATACAGTTTTTCTAGATGAATAATGGAATTTGGCCTGTTGTAAACTTCCACACAAAAGTTGTTTCAGCATGGCCGCCTGTATAAAAAATAATCTAAATAAGATACACATTCCGCCAATACGTAAGTGTTGTCCACGTTTGTCCCATCCATTATACATCTCTAATACGAATCTTGGATTTATCCCAAACTAG